CCTAGGCGTTGCATGTAGATAGGAATGGTGTCGATCGTGCTAAGCTCCTGGCTTTCTATTGAAACAAGGGTGTTGTATACCTTTTCATTCTCACGAAAAGGGAGGGAGTAAGATCACATTTGAATCGGTATTGGGTGTTGAGCTTTGATCAGTCACTTTTATGCTATCTCTTCTGATAACGTGTCCGTTTGGTCGTGCCGTCAGAATCACATGATTAGAATAATGCGAACGCTGGCTCAAGTTTATTGACAGATCGTCGCGAGCAAGTAGCCATGCAGTCTTGGAACGAAATGTTGGGTTCGAACTTAGCGGTATTCGTCATTAGGACTTGAACCTTATGCAACAATGCTGGTAAGTTAAGTCCCCGTCGTCCAGCCCCTTTGTTCAGACGTTTGATTCAATATGATGAATAGAATATGACCCCTTTCGAAGGGAGGGTTAGATCAACTGTTGGTTGGCAAACAGGGTTGAACCAACGGGAGCAGAGGGCTCAACTTTCACCCCTTTTCCCTAGGGCTTTCCCGTGTGATGGAGTACTGTTCATGCACTCGCCTCGTGATCTAAACCTACTAAATCAATCCTGACGAACCTCTCAGCACTTCCTGGTTGGGGAACGCTAACTGAACTCACGCCCGTTGATCTTCCTGTAATGAGTGGGAGTGTAAAGGTTGGTAATAGTGAAAAGATAGTAGACATGAACTCGAGTGAAAACTGGGGATTGTATGATAAATGAGTCGGTTTTCCCAGTTCCCTTTTCTGATGAGCAAGCTAAGATTACTGAGAACAGTGGCATATCTTTTGGTCAAATACCTGATCGAGGTTTCGACTCAGAGGCATGAATTGTGTTAGTCCTATGTAAGTTTCTTTGAGACACCCTACTGTACTGGTGACCATACTGACTGTGATCTAGAATTCCATGTCTATTATGCTTGAACTTGAAGAGGACTAATTACCAGAAGTCACTCTCAGGATCAGTCAGTTACTGGTCATTTATCGATCTTTTTCCTGCTACCTATTAAGAAGGGTACATTTCTGGCCAGTGTTTACGGAATGTCGTTCAACTCGGGGGACTGACAAGATCAGTAGAGTAGAGTAGAGTAGAGTAGAGTAGAGTAGAGTAGAGTAGAGTGTTATTGAGTGTCGCCGAGTAAAGTAGAATGTCGTAGAGTGTCGTTGAGTACAGTGTCGTAGAGTGGAGTAGATTACATTGTTGTAGAGTAGAGTATAGTGACCTAGAGTGTCATAGAGTAGAGTAGAATGTCGTGGAGTAGAATATCGTAGAGTAGAATGTCGTAGAGTAGAGTACAGTACAATGTCGTAGAGTAGAGTAGAGTGTTCTACAGTATCGTAGAGTAGAATAGAGTGTTGTAGAGTAAAGTGTCGTAGAGTAGAGTGTCGTAGAGTATAGTACAATACCGTAGAGTAGACTAGAATAGAGTAGAGTAATGTAGAGTGTTTTAGAGTAGAGTAGAGTGTAGTAGAGTAGAGTAGAGTAGAGTAGAGTAGAGTAGAGTAGAGTAGAGTAGAGTAGAGTAGAGTGGAGTAGAGTAGAGTAGAGTACAGTAGAGTGTCGTATAGTGTCATGGAGTAGAGTATAGTAGAGTAAAGTGTCGTAGAGTAAAGTAGAGTGTCATCGAGTAGAGTGCCATAGAGTGCCATAGAGTGTCATGGAGTACAGAAGAGTATCGTAGACTGTTGTAGAGTAGAGTAGAGTAGAGTAGAGTGTACTAGAGTAGAGTTTTGTAGAGTGCCGTAAAGTTTCATAGTGTCATAGAGTACAAAAGAGTATCGTAGACTGCTGTAGAGTAGAGTAGAGTGTCGTAGAGTAGAGTGTAGTAGAGTGTCGTAGAGTATCGTAGAGTAGAGCGTCGTAGAGTAGAGGAGAGTAGAGTAGAGTGGAGTAGAGTAGAGTAGAGTAGAGTAGAGTAGAGTAGAGTAGAGTAGAGTAGAGTAGAGTAGAGACTCATAGAGTAGAGT